AAAAAAAAAAAGGCTGAAATTCGAGAGACAAAAGTGAAAAAAAGCGGAAATCCGCTAAAAAGCGGAAAAATCTCATCCCTGTTAATCCAAGAGTTCCTTTGTGTTCAGGATTGAGTTCAAAATGACAAGGCTACGGAGTTGAACATTAGTAGTCGTAAACCCATAAAATTCGGTCGGCTGTTCAACGACGGTGATAAAAAACTTCTAAGTGAAAAAAAATTTGACACACACAGGGGGGATTTTTTAAAAAAAAAAGTCTGAAAGCCTTTAAAATACTCAAGTTCAAGATCCATTCTAAAGAACGGATAACTTTTTATGGCAAGATGTTATTTATTGTTTACAATTTTGTTACAAGTTTTGCCTCAAGCGTGAGGAACTTAAACTATAGCTTTTTATTCACCTTGGCAATAAAGCTTCTAAAAATACAGTTAAGTGTTGAAAGTTGGCAGTCGTAAACCCAAAAAAAGGGTCGGTTGTTCAATGACGGCTATAAAATAGAATAAAATGGTTTTCATTAATGAAATTTACCATTCTGCTCGAACCACACAGCGCCAGAACGACGTAATTGTTTACAAACCATCCCTCTGTTGCAAACTTCTGATTCAAATCGACTCAATATATGTTTCCGCTTAAAGCACATAGCTAATCTGAAGATAAAGTGTTTTCCTGTACTCGTCAATGGTTAAAATTTCTCTCATTTCTTCGTAATTCGTTTCTCTTAATGGTATAACATATTTTGTAGCTGTTGTCGGTTTTCCTGGGATAATATAAAAATTTAATTCGCATATAATTCTCATTAATTTAATTCGTATGTAACTCTTATAATTTAATTTGCATAATTCCCAATTAATTGTAATAATATTTTAATCCGTTGGATTCTTTGCATTATAGTTTTTTCATTGATTGATGATTGATTCTATCAACTAGTGTGTTGATTGTTTGATTGTAGTCTCTTGATTTTTTAAGATATCAAAAAATAAACAGATAGCATGCTAACTTAAAAGAACGTCATACCATGGGGGAAAGTTTTCATGGCAAATTCTTTTTCACCTCAATAACTAATTTAAAATTGAAAGTGTAGAAAAAGTGAGTTCAGACAAACCTAGAGTACACCAGGAAATTTCAAATACTTAAAAGAAATTTTTAAAAAGTCAAAATGAAAATAAATCATAAGACGATAACTTAGGATTGCGCAATGGAGAATTTCTCTTCCAATAATTTGTTTGCCGTTTGACCAATAAAATAAAACCGTTTATAAAATAAAATAAAATAAAATCTGCAATGCTAAACCTATGGAAAAAAAACATTCCTGTCTGTCGATTATTTTTAAAGATTTTTAAAATCAGGAGTTAAAACTGCTTGAAATCACTGAAATAAAATAAATATCTCTACATAAATTCATAAAAATTTTCTACTTTGAATAAATAATCAGTATTTAAGTTTAAAAATAGAAAGGAAGAAAAATTCTTAAAAATAGGAAAACTTTCAAACAAATTGAAGTTTAAAAAAAATAAATAAAACTCTTGTTAAGTTAATAAATAAAAATTTAGCACAACGAATTTCGATTACGTTGTCTTATTTATGCTGCCTTCAGTGTGAAATATTTTACAACCAGTTTAATAATCCTCCTCTGATATTAATTTTATTCCAACGTGTACTCCATGTCTTAGTTATTTTCTAACACTATCACAAGTCAAAATTCTTCATGCCCCCATCAAAAATTTTTGATGATTTATGTTGGTTTCAGTGCGTTTCATGATGGCCCAACATCATTTGATGGTCACCATCATCCAACACTTTCCATTATGCATTCATGGTATTTGATATGTCAACAAACTTCCATCATCCATGATGGAAAATACTATGATGGTTAACAATCAAGAGAAATTTGATTCTTATTGACCAACAATCCATGATGATTCATGATCCATGTTGATTCTTACTATACATTTCCATTATGGTTTAATAGGAATTCTTGTTGGTTCTCAGGAATATGCAAATTTGTTTTCTTATGTTGGACCATCATAAATCAGTCTGGATTCTTACATTTTTTATGATGATTGTTAATGATCATTCCAACATTTGATTTCTAGGATATGTGATGGAAATTCGTGATAGTCCAAAATGGTACAACAATATACATTTCTATGATGGTGTAATGGAAATTCTTTTTCGTTCAGCAGGAATATACCATCAAAACAATTTGTGTGTTTTTGTACGTTATACTCTCATAAATCAGTCCGAATTCTTACATTGGAGTGATGGTTACTTATGTAGGTTACCATCATGAAATATAATAGTTCATGATGGAATTATTGATGGTTACCATCAAGACTATGCTGGTCCATCAATGAAAAGTCATCAAAAATTTTGACTTGGGCTGTAGCACATCAGAACTCTTTTTTATCATGTTTAAAGAAATCTATTATTTCTTATTTCAGGCAAATTTCTGAAATAAAATCGAAACTTTTAGAAATCTACAGTTCGGCAACAGTTACCATTCCTGGTAACAGAACTTTGGTTGGTGAAGAAACGGTGATGGCTGCCATGGCGAGCATAAGAGAACCATTTCAACTGAAGCATATCTGGAAGACATGGATAGAGGAAGTGGGCGAGAAAGGAAAACATCATCTCCTTGGAATAATTCAACTGACCAATAAAGCTGCCAGAGATAATGGTAACTCAATACATTTGATTACTCCACGATGATAATTTAGCTCTTCATTTTTCTATATGTTATGGCAGACGAATTTATCAATTAAACAATAGTTTTCATTTGGAACAAAATTTAAATTTACAACGAAATGTTTAAGAAAATTAACAAAGCAAAATATTTATGAAAATAGGCATAGTTTGAAATGCAGTCTTCACTGCTAGATAAGAAACCCAAATTTTTTACTCTTGAAAAAGATATCTGTAACAAATCAATGTAAACATGTTTTAAGCACTAGGTGGATAAATCACCAAATCGCTTCGCTCACCAACATCCGAAATTGTTCTCCAATGTTTTCTTTTTCCCGCAGTGGACTGATCGTAAAGACGCGGTTCCCAGTAGAACACCGAAATCAAGCATCACTGGCTGTGGTCAGTGTGCGGGTGAGTGACCACTTTGATAAGCCTGCGTAGGGACGGAGGGTGCGCTTTATCGATTCTCGTTAAACTATTCTACCATAAAGTGCACGACTTCACGCGCAGGTCGCCGGACTACCAAAGCAGGGGAGCTATCCCCTCAGCATAGGATCAAAAACTCTGATGGCATGTCTTCGGATCATCCTCAGGGATGTTTCCGAGTCCGTCGCCAATAGCCCATTGTGCAGCTCTAGTGCGACGTTAAAAAAGTACCTACCTACCTACCTTAAGAGTCAATAATTTCCGCAAAAACCAAGAACATTATACAGAACAAACATTATTGAGAGCAAAACAAACAATTATTGTAGTCTTATGGAACATTATTTTGACAATCTGTTAACTGTAGCGAAATGGACGATTACCTGGTCATTAGTTTATTTTGTGTCAATTTACTGTACAAAATCAAGGAACCAGGATTCAACCGGGTTAGGAATTCTGCCGAATATCAAGGATTCGGCAATTTTTTTTTTTAAAATTTCCAGTACATCTTTCACTTTTCGGCATTATTATTAAAACGTAACGTTTTCATTCTTTCATTCACGGTTAAGGATAAATGAAAGCTTGCAAGATATTTCATTCGAATATTTAATATGTAAGAATGATTAGAGGTAATAGCTGTTCTTAAAAATGTAATTTCTTTTTCACTATTTCATTTATTCGAATTTTTTTTCATTATGAAACATTGCTATTACGCCTTAGAAACGCCTGCGGTAATTAATAATAGAACGATAGTGGAGAACATACTTGCTTTCCTATGATTACGTAAGAATAGTTACGTAAGAATTGCTATGATTTATATGTAAGAATGATGAGAAGTAACAACTGTTCTTTACAAGGTATTTTCTTTTTCACTATTTCATTTATTCGAATTTTTTTTTCATTATGAAACATTGCTATTACGCCTTAGAAACGCCTGCAGTAATTAATAATAGAACAAACGTAGAGAACACACTTGTATTCCTATGATTACGTAAGTGTCTGAGACTGAGACAAAATGCTGTGGAACTCGTATTGAGTGTGGTAAGTAATCACACAAAAAGGATTAAAACTCATTAAATTCGGATTCTATTTTAGAAGCAGCCTATAAACGATGCATTTCATCAAAGTTTCAGTAACATAAACCTTTTTTTAACATTTGAGAACAATAATGGTTAGATATGAAAAATATATACAAGGTCTAAAAAACTTTCTCGAGATATATTCTCCGAATCGTTGCAAAAGCTATCCAATGATACCCATAGTTTGTCTACAGAAAGAACTCGCCCTGCAAAAGAGTCTGAGGCCATCTGCTGCCATGGAAACAAAAATAGCGCATTTCAAGAAGGGTACAGTTTGTCTAAAGTAAAAACTCCCCTAGCCATTTGTCTGGAACCATGGTGGTGACTATGGTAATGAGGTATAATTATTTTAAGTAGGGGTGTGGGGTCATTGTTGAAGACGGATTTTGGAGCGGGTCGACGAGAGAAAAGGAATCTTTTTCTTCCGTCTATTGTGCTAGCTCTCCCTGAAATGTACTATTCTGATTTCCATAGAAGCTAACAACCTCAGACTTTGTGGCGGGGGAGTTTTTACCGTTGACAAATTATAGCTTCTCTTAACTCTAGGGCTAACAAAATATTCCCTTTCTCTCGCCGACCCGGGTTCAAACCTGTCCTCAGCAATGACCCCGCACCCTTACTTGAAATAGTTTTACCTAGTCACCATAGTCACTGCTACGGGTTCAGACAAATGTCTAGGGGAGTTCTTACTTTAGACAAACTATGACATGATCTTCTTTCCTGAGGTTAGATGGGGGAAATTTTGAAATCTTAAACAAAAAATAATGGTGTGTATTTAAGATTTCCTCCACCTTCAGAGATTGGAGTTAGGTATCATTGGATTGCTTTTAAAAAAATATTGAAAGTGTGTGTTTCAACTTTTTTGATTCTATGCATATTTCTCAAAATATTTGATACTTTCCAAACGTTTTTTACATCTTGTATCTAATGAAAAATATTTAATCTGCTGGTTTTTTAATTGTTTTAATTTCAACTGAAATGTCACACTTGTTGATAATCTTCTTTTCCCCTTGCAACAAACATTTTTAAAATTCTAACGATCCCCTTAAATCTTGATATCAATAAATGGAGAAACCCATTCAATAAAATTTACATTTGCCAAAACTATATTCCTTTATTCTTTGCAACACAGTTTGAAAACTTATATTTCAAGCAGTAATACGAGTGCAAATGCGTTGGAAAAGATTTAAAGGGGATTTGGCAACAAATGGTCCACGAATAATCTTAGTCGCAATCAAGTTAGCTTCAAAAAAACCTAAGAAACAATACTTCAATTATCTTGTTAGCAATGCGTAAAAAACCATCTACAATTCAAACATTGTGCCTTATCTACGTAAAGTCATAACTTCTAAACTATAAATTCTATAGTATCGTACATACTATCATTTGATTCAGCATACCCGTGAAAACAATACCTCATTTGTCTAGACAGCAATATACAAGTTTCACCCAATACCAAAACCTGACTAGGAGGGTTAACAGTTTGAAAAGATGAAGGTAGAAACATTAAAAACAGCTTCGTTAACACCCAATTAATCGTATCCCTTATTGCTCATCAGGTTATTCGGACACAGGAGAAGCGTGGAGAGCAGAACTAGGAATGGAGGATTTAGTGAGTGACGTCCTCAATTTGTGGAATGACGTCAAAGGATTCTACGGACAACTACACGCTTACACCAACCACAGATTGCGTATGTTCTATGGTCATCAACACTTCAGGCACGAAGGATACATTCCAGCACATTTATTAGTTAAGTAGATCCATATTATTATGGATTTTATAGATATTCGATAGATATCGATATCATTTGATATCGATTTGTAGCAGTTATTAAAGTATGCATACTAATTAAATAGCCAATAAACCATAACTTTTAAAAACATGACAGTCTGTTATATGGTTTTAGTTTGTTAAAATTAGATTTACCAAGCGGGGGTTGCAAGTCACAGCTGATTTATTTTCAACCATTAAATAAAAATTTCAATTGGTTACAAGCAATCGACTACTTTTGATCAAAATATGATTAGATTTAATCATAATTGAAAGCGCCATTTTTAAGTTAATAAGCTTTTTTTTAAATTTTCTTTTTCTTGTCTGCAAGCTCAAATGTATAAATCTCCAGCACTCATGTGGTTAGTTGTTATATGCGCTTGGAACCTTCTTCCATTTCACAAAAAATTCTCAAATATTGTCATAAAATATCTTTATTAACAGAAATATTTGATTTGCAAAATAGATCAATGTTATATAATGAATAAGACTAATATTAGAAATAATCATCAATTCTCAATCTAAATCAGAAAAATATTTTTAGATAATATCACTACCATTAAGATTTTTGATTGTTCGTAATTATAGGACAGTCACCACTTGCTCACTAAATAAAAAAATGGCGATGAAATAAATTTCTTCCAATAGCCGCCCGATCGTCACTTTTTTTTTGTTGCCAAAATTGCACTCCATGCTAATTATATTGTTTTTCCCCCTAATGAATACGGAGAACCTTGCTGGATCAGGGGATGGAGCTCTCGCCTCTCAATAACGAGACCTGGGTTCGAATTCCAGCGATGACCAACGACAGCTGGTCGCACCGGCCTCAGTGCTAATGCAAAATATTCTCAGTGACTTACGGATCATGGGTTAGAGTCCCCTTGCCGTCATGCTAACCGTGGGAGGTTTTCGTAGTTTTACTAGAACGGCAGTTCAACCCGGTTATAAAATAAAATAAAACATGGAATTACTATAAATATTTTGCATTATTCTGAAAATGACTTTTTTTGCGCTTTTACATTAAAACTTTTCTTATTTATTATTCTTTGTCCTTTCCAATGGATTTACGTTATTAGATGGGGAAAAAATAACATTTTTAGTTGCTTGTTTCATCGTAATAAATTAACCTTTTATTTTGGCTTTTGCTCGAGACTATCTCATCATATTCAAAATTAACCATATTTGATATATGATTAGTTTGTTTATGCTCCACATGGCTTAGGGCCTGTCTTTTTGCTATGTCTCTATGCAAATATATAGTGAAAAAATTGAAATCTTTGTGAAGGAATTTAGAATGTCAGAAAAGGGAACTAATACTAACGGGCTTGACTTACTCGAAATAGAAAGAAAAAGACAGTTGCTAACGTAAAGAAATGCCCCTTTCCAACAATCAATCAGGATCGAGATACCCGTTCCACGTCACTTGCAAGTATCTCATTAATTCTTTTTTGATTCATGAGAGTAATACGCAAGCGAACTTTAATGATGCTGCCTTTAAGGTATTTAATTAAAACAGAGTCGTCTGCATTTTAATTTATATCAAATCTGAGTATATATTTCACTTTCAAGCGAACGATGGAGGGACTGAAATTGTCCCAAAGAGAGTTATAAGAGAGATTCTATTGCAGGTAGCATGTGGGGAGAGAACTGGTCAGGATTGAACGATATCCTTCAGCCATATCCAGAACATCCAAATTGGAATGTCTCTTCCATTTTGAGAGAGAAAGGCTTCACTCTATCAGATGTGTTTAGAACAGCAGATACGATGTACACCTCCATGGGACTGGAGGCTCTCAACCCACAGTTTTGGTACAAATCCATGTTTGAAAAACCCAAAGATGGACGAATCGTAGACTGCCATTCTGTTTCGTACGATTTTGCCTTAAACGACGACTTCAGGTAAATATATGTGTGTCCCATTAACGAACTTGGAGAGTCATGCACGTTTTAGATTTTTAACATTCTTTTTAAATTCCAAAATTCTCTATATTGCGGTAAAGTGCCACTCCTTATACTAATGCTTTTTTAATTATTTATTTATTACAACAACTGTACTCTGAGTCCTTTTTATTTAAAAAAAAAGATAAGTATTTGATATTTAGGGGACAAATATTTTTTTTTATTATACCATATTTGTTTTGTTTCATCATAATGTCTTTCAACATAAGTGTCTCTTACATATTAAATACTTTTACAACAAAAAAGAAAAAAAAATATTCCGGGTACAACTGTTGCACCAGCCTTCTCCAAAACTTTCAGTGTAAGATCCATTGACCATAAGTACAAGTCCACTTCCGACACTGACACTTTTTCTTATCGCTAGATAGGAAAAAAATATTTCGAGCAATTTATTGTGTGAAATTCGTAGCCACTTTCAGGAGAAAAATTTATCCCAATTATTAAAGAAAGGTGAATGATTACAAAAATGTATTATACATTTTTGTAACGTATACTTGTACATGTACAAGTATTATAAAAAATGTTTTAAAATTCAATTCCTACTTAGGTCAACAAAGAAATTTTTTTATTTTATTTTATTTTTATAAAATAATTAAAAAAATTTCTTCCAATATAAAACTAAAATTATTTATTTAAATTTAATTAATGAACTAATATTTAAGGAAAACTGTATTAACATCAAGTGACATCCACTACACAAGTTAAAAGAAATGTATTTGAATTTGAGTGGATGAATAAAGAGTATTTAATTAACGATTGAAAATTTGAACAAGATAATAGGGAGAATGTGAAATAATAGTAGGAATTGGAAAAGAGACATTTCTTTTTCTTTTTTAGGAATTTGTGTATTAGGTTTTGAAACAAATTTTTAGAATTTAAGTAGTATTTTCTGTTAGTTGTGATACAACACCGCAAAACGGTATACAGACTCACACAGGTTTTTTATTTTATTATAGTTATAGAAATACTGGAGAGCTCGGCATAAGATGAACGATTTATAGAGTTACTGCAGTTTTAGCTTTGTTACTGTTATCTCTGTTTCTTGCTCTAAATCTGCCATTAGAAATAAAAAAGAAAAATATTTATAGAAAAAACAATTTTGTGTGGGTTTGTCCCTCGAGTTGTTTGTATATACGAGGCATAAAAATGTCAAAGTACCGACAATTTAAAACACAAATCTTTTAATTTTTCCACAGGGTCCGGATGTGTGGATCAGTGAATGAAGAAACGTTGAGGCAGGCCGTGCATGAAATGGGTCATATCCGTTATTACATGGCATATCATCATCAGCCCATGCTTTACAGAAATGGTGCCAACTCTGCTTTTCATGAAGCAGTAGGCGAAACATTCGTTTATGCATCTCAAAACCCTCACTGCCTCACTACTCTAGGACTCATTCAACACTCAAACGTAACAAAAGGTAATAATTATTATTCTTGCTCTAAATTCATTAATTCATTCATTCCTCAACTGTAACAAAGGGTAACGATTGTTATTCTTGTTCTAAATTCATTCATTCCTCAAACTTAAAAAAAGGTGAAAATTATTATTATTGTTCTAAATTTATTCATTCCTCAAACATAACAAAAGGTGAAAATTATTGGTAAAGGTGAAAATTATTATTGTTCTAAATTCATTCATTCCTCAAACCTAACAAAAGGTGAAGATTATTATTCTTGCACTAAATTCATTCATTCCTCAAACCTAACAAAAGGTGAAGATTATTATTCTTGCACTAAATTCATTTATTCCTCAAACCTAACAAAAGGTGAAGATTATTATTCTTGCACTAAATTCATTTATTCCTCAAACCTAACAAAAGGTGAAGATTATTATTCTTGCACTAAATTCATTTATTCCTCAAACCTAACAAAAGGTGAAGATTATTATTCTTGCACTAAATTCATTTATTCCTCAAACCTAACAAAAGGTGAAGATTATTATTCTTGCACTAAATTCATTTATTCCTCAAACCTAACAAAAGGTGAAGATTATTATTCTTGCACTAAATTCATTTATTCCTCAAACCTAACAAAAGGTGAAGATTATTATTCTTGCACTAAATTCATTTATTCCTCAAACCTAACAAAAGGTGAAGATTATTATTCTTGCACTAAATTCATTTATTCCTCAAACCTAACAAAAGGTGAAGATTATTATTCTTGCACTAAATTCATTTATTCCTCAAACCTAACAAAAGGTGAAGATTATTATTCTTGCACTAAATTCATTTATTCCTCAAACCTAACAAAAGGTGAAGATTATTATTCTTGCACTAAATTCATTTATTCCTCAAACCTAACAAAAGGTGAAGATTATTATTCTTGCACTAAATTCATTTATTCCTCAAACCTAACAAAAGGTGAAGATTATTATTCTTGCACTAAATTCATTTATTCCTCAAACCTAACAAAAGGTGAAGATTATTATTCTTGCACTAAATTCATTTATTCCTCAAACCTAACAAAAGGTGAAGATTATTATTCTTGCACTAAATTCATTTATTCCTCAAACCTAACAAAAGGTGAAGATTATTATTCTTGCACTAAATTCATTTATTCCTCAAACCTAACAAAAGGTGAAGATTATTATTCNTGAAAATTATTATTCTTGCTTTAAATTCATTAATTCATTCATTCCTCAAAGGTAACAAAAGGTGAAAATTATTATTCTTGCTCTAAATTCATTAATTCATTCATCTCTCAACTGCAACAGAGGGTAACGATTGTTATTCTTGTTTTAAATTCATTAACTCATTCATTCCTCAAAGGTAACAAAAGGTGAAAATTATTATTCCTGCTCTAAATTCATTAATTCATTCATTCCTCAAAGGTAACAAAAGGTGAAAATTATTATTCTTGCTCTAAATTCATTAATTCATTCATCTCTCAACTGTAACTGAGGGTAAACATTGTTATTCTTGTTTTAAATTCATTAATTCATTCATTCCTCATCTGTAACAAAAGGAGAAAATTATTATTCTTGCTTTAAATTCATTAATTCATTCATCTCTCAACTGTAACTGAGGGTAAACATTGTTATTCTTGCTCTAAATTCATTAATTCATTCATTCCTCAAAGGTAACAAAAGGTAACGATTGTTATTCTTGTTTAAAATTCATTAATTCATTCACCGCAGCGACGTGAACAGTGTTCAAGACCCCTTTCGTCAAATTTCCACACCACAGCCAACGAGAAGACTTTTAGCCACAATAGATTTAACGCGCACCTTGTTGATTACACACGCCGGTTTGTATGCCATTACGATCGAGCTCACTACCCTCAGCTCTCAAACCATCGGTGTGCTCTGGCACTGAGCGACATGGGACGCAGCTCTACTCCCATGAACCGGAAACGGAATCTTTATCCATCGCTGATAGGATTTGAACCCTGGGTTTAATAAAAAAAAATTTGCTTTAACTTTATGGAGGTATTTAAACTTTTCACCTCATTATACATATATAACAAGAAAATTGACCAGAACATAAAATAGCTATAAATTCCCCCCCCCCTTCACTGGTCAGACGAAATATCGTCCTTTCTGTTTTATTGATTTTTTGACCATTCTATGTCCATCATGCCGAATGCACTTCTCTGATTGCTAACTTTGTCATCTAGCAGCGAAAAATTCATATCCTTGCTGACATTAGGGCGGAGTTCAGCTAAATTTTCGCAATGACGACGGCTCGATTAAGCCAATCAGGAGCCCATATTTTTGTAAACATATCGCATTTTGCGATGTGTAAAAATGCAAGCCTTTCATAGGTCAAATTTGTCCATCGTAATCGCAAAAATTTAGCTGAATTCCGCACCAGAAAGTCATGGATTTACGAAATATAGATTTTTTGTGTTCATGCGATAGATTAATGAAGAAGCTAACATATAACTGATGGATTTTACACTGCACTGATATTTTGTTAAAAAAAAAGTTCATTAAAGAAGGAAACGTAAAATAAACTTTCTATTCAATTTGGGTGCCCCATAAGCCCTTGCCTTAGTCAGCCTCTGAAGATGGCGGTTCAAAGTCGCAAATACTTATAAATACTTTTATTTATTTTCAGAGCAGCATTTGAATATTTTGATGAAGCAAGCCCTTTCGAAGTTTGTACTGCTTCCTTTTGCCCTAACTGTAGAATTATGGAGATATGCTCTTTTCTCCCATCAAATCGATGATATCATTAAAAAATGGTGGGATTACAGGTAAGTCATCCCATTTTCAGATTGACCTTCTGCTTAGCATGATTAAACCATTTTGATCTACCTTTGATCTACCATTTTGATCCACCTTTGATCTACCATTTTGATCCATTTAATATACCTGCCGTAAGTAAAGGGTTAATCCCAAGTAGTTTATTTTTTAGGGTAGTTTTAAATACGACTCGTAAAAAATTGTAGTGTGTCTACCATTACAAAAATACAATTCCAATTAAGTAGTATATAAGACATGTTAACCCGGTTCTATGGTGGGTAGTGGGGTACCTTTTCATAGATGAAGGTTGAGATTGTCAATAACAACTCTTCCCATATTGGTGACCTTTGGACGAAATGTGAACCCGCCTACCTTGACAGTAACGCCCACTTCGATTTGAACACTCCTACTTCGATAGACGGTCCATATTGAACAGTTGACTTGTGACTGCGACATCATCCACCACCTCGTGCTGTTGCTACTCAGTCTCGATCACACACAACGTCGGTCTGTATACACTCGACTGCTAAGGGCAACACAGGAGCGACCATGAACTTAATACAGTTCTTCCGACTTCTCACAAAACAGCAATGAATCAACTAGTGGTATCCGTTCATCGAATTCTATCACAGATAAAATTCTGCTAGGGAGTACTGTAGTGTATCTACCACTACAAAAATGTAATTCCAATTCACTTGTATATAAGACATGTTAACTCTATTCTATAGTGAGTTACCTTTTCATAGATGAAGGTTGACATTGTTGATAACTACTTCCCTACCGCAAAGATCACAGAGATCTCCGAATAATATACTTTTTTTTTATTCTTAATAGATTCTTTATTGTTTCAATTGTTTTGCCTTCAAAATTTGGAGGGATGATCGCAAAGTAGGGGTCTCGATATTTTTAACCCTTCATCATTAATAATTTTTTTCAATAGTTCTTAAACTATTTAAACAAGGTTTTTTACACACACTTGTTTATAAAAAAAAAGAAAGTCAAAAGCTGTAATGTTTTCATTGAATTTTATAATGCTAGTAAACTTTTTGATTTATGCAAATTTATAGTGCTTCCTTGATAAATAACAAAACCCAAAATGTGGGCAAAATAATTCTAAAGGATAGAAAAGTGCTAATTTTATTGTCACTAAAATAATTTGTTTGGCAAATGATTATATGTAAATTTTGATTCGCTTGAATTTCTAAGAATATAGCGAAACACGTAAAAAACCAATTTAAGTGAAACTATATTTCCAGTTTGTGGCCCTTTTGTCATACCAGAACTCGTTTAAGAAAACGATATTTTTATTTAGAAAAAGTACTTTTGATTGCCTAATATTGGACTTTAAGAAGGAGAAGCTTTAATTACAACGATTGATTAGTACAGTGGATCTGCGTCGCAGCAACAGTTCATAGTGAGCACAACTTGTAGCAAAGACAATTCGTGAAAGGCATAATTCATCATGGGTACAATTCGTCGTTAAAAAAAATTATCAAACAGCAGTGGTTCCATGCAATGACGACGTATGCGCACTGTTTACTATAACTCTTGAAAACAGGTGAAAAGTGTGATGACGTCCAAATAAAGTGCGCACGCCATAAAACCCTAAACAAGACCCATTTTGCCAATGGGCAAAAAAAAAAAAAAGAAATTCAGAATAAGTAATAGCGCTATCTCTTTCCCTTCTGTTGGTGACTAAGAACTGTATCGTGTTGAACTATTTCAAGAAGGGATATGAGGTGAATAAATAGAAAGTGAGAAATATACCCCTTTGTTTCCATAGCAACTCTGTGGCGAGAGAAATTCTTCTTATAAAACTTTTTATCCGGTCATACAGGCTTCTTAAGAATAAAAAAATGGCTACGAAGAATTCATACGGCAAAAAAGTAATACTGTTAATGAAGTAGTCACGTGACGATTATAATGAAGCACCCTTTTCAGAGTCGAAACACAGAATGAAAGATGCCGAATAAACTACAAACAATAAAAATTGATTAACCTATTGGGTAGAGGAAAAACCGGGATGGCTCAGGGGATGGAGCGTTCGTCTTCCAATGAGATAAACCACGAATTCCGCATCCGGTTGCACCGACCACAGTGCTGACGTGAAATATCCTCGGTGATAAACGTATCATAGGTTAGAGTCCCTTTCCCTTCAGGCTAACCATGGGGAGATTTCGAGGTTTTACTCTCCATGTTGCACAAATGCCGGTTAGTACCATCAAAAAGTCATCCATTCAGGCAAATTTCTCCCAATACTTGATCCAGGCGTTCCCTTGTCTTCTGAATTAAGTTCAAAATTACAAGGCTATAGAATTGATCATAAGTAGTCGTCAACCCAAATTTGGATCGCCTGTTCAACAACGGTTATAAAATAAAATAAAATTAAATAGGGTAGAGGAACGAATAAGATTTTCACCAATAGTTAGAAGATAAACAAAAAGGTGTTAGTGGGAAAACGGTATAGATTAGAAACCAGAATGTTACAAGATATCGTTTTCACTTAATCTTCTTCAGTTCATAAGATGCAGATTACAAAGTGAATTATAATAATCTTGCCCTAAACGGCCACTCTTAATCATTTTTCTTGTAGTAACTTGTTTGTAATTTCTTCTGCATCCCTGTTTCGCTCTGTGTTTCGACACTGTGTGAAGAAGGTGCTTCGCATTATATTTTGTTTATTAACACTAGATTGCCCAAGGAAGTTACTTTGACTGCTTTCTAATTTCAAATGGAAAAACAAAAATGTATATAATGACGCAATTTCTTAGAATTTTATGACTTTTATAATTATTTTTTATGTTGATATTTACAAATAACTTATTATGTAACTGAAAATAATATAAAAAATTAATTTTAAACAAATTTTTTTATACATTAGTTATTCTTTCGCAATGCAGTCATTTTGACTGCTTTTGGGCAATANTTTTGACTGATTTTTGGCAATAAAGGTATTTCAGTCTTTCTAGCGTTAATATTATTTGTTTTTATTTTTAACTTTATTTCAATTGGACGAGTGTTATAAGCTGAAGCTAACATTTAAAGAAGAACTTAGTGAGAATTTATTTCTATTCCAGAAAAGCGTTTCAAGGGATTGAACCACCAGATGACGAAAGCGCTGAATTGTTTGAGCCGGGATCTAAGTACCACATACTAAACAATATACCGTACATGAGGTAAAAATCCGCATTGTTTTATACCCAAATTATTTTATGTAATATTTGTTCAACAGGAGAGCAAAGCGTTTCAAATGTTGAGCTGTTGAGCAAATTAACATTTTAACATAAATCAATACTTGTCTAACAGTTTTCAATCCTGAAAATTTCCACCATCCTAAATAAAAAATAATCTTAATTATTTTTTTTTTGTTCCAGATATTTTGTGAGCAGATTTCTAGAGCACGAATTCATGGAAGGACTGTGTGATACTTCTGGTGCAAAAAATGATCCTTTTTGCTGTTTCATTACATCTCACGTAGCAGGAGAGCGACTCAAGTAAGTTATTCATCCAACAATATGACATATTATTGAAGAAAAAAAAACTTGCTAAAAAGGTTTCTTGGAAGTTTATTCAATTCTTAATCATCAGTAGGAAATGTTGATTTTAAATTTTTCGACAAAGCTACGTGAAGAAACTGCAAAAAAAAAAAAATCAAGAATTTATTCTTCTAAAATACTAATTATTACTCATTACTATAATACTATACTAGTAAATATTAATAAATTACTCACAAAGTTATTTTTTAAATATAATTATTTTTAGAAATTTTACATATCGTTTCTCAAGTATTTTCACAAGATAGTAAATCTTGTATTCTAGCAGAATTCTGGGAAGTAAAATTAATTTTAGGCTACACATTTTTGAAAACTCCACTCGAAAAAATTTTAAAAGTTTTTTTTTTTAGTAAATTTTTTAAGCAGTATCAAACCTGAAATAAATATTTTTCAGGGGTTAATTGAGGAAAAAATAACCCCTATACCTTACTTAACTTTAAATAATATCTACTGTATACTTAAAATAGGATTATAATGATAACATATTCAATATCATAATTGAAAATGTATTTAATCTTTTTTACAAAGAAAACAAACTTACAGTGAAAATAATCATTATTTTCATCAATTTTGGCTGCCCACGTATCATAGATTTGCTTACAATTATTTTGATACTAATCGGAAGTGGAGATGCGTTACGTGTAAATCCATACATGGAATCGGTTATTGAACGTTGATGGTTATAAAACTGGGAGATGGCCTTTAAGATGAAATAATCTTTTTATTCTGCTTATTACCCATTAGCAAAATGGGTTTGGTTCGGATTACATGGCTTCCTCACTTTTCAACTACAATAATCTAGAGTAAGAGTGAACAGTGGTCATGAGTTGCTATGGCGACCGCTGCTGTTTGATAATTTCTTTAGAATTCTTTTTTTTCGCTTTTAATTTTGTTATGCATTAAGAGAGATCCCATAAATACTTCTTGAGTTGTGAATAAAAGAGAATTTCATCATTTGTACGATATTTTTGTTTTTATTGTTTTAATTAAGAATCAGAAATTCTCAATACTTATTCAGGTGAATATCACACATCAAGAGAGAGTCCAAACTGATTGACACGGTCCCAAAGTTAGAGTTGAAGCAAGAAAAATTTAAAAAAAAAAAAACGATGCCAAGGCCTAAATTTACCGAGGCTTAAAAAGCCAAAGTCAAAGAACGTAGACGGGAATACCTTAAGCGTTAAACGCAAGTGCCAGAACGAAAGGATTCCATTCAGAAACGCAAGCATGAAGCCTGTCCATCACTAAAGTGGTTGAGAGAATTGAATCCTACCGAAAATCGAATAGTGACTCTCCGAACCCCTTTCATGCAAATACGAGAACTGGATGTTGATCACCCGTTAGGGATAAAAGGATCCGTTGTTGTCAACGTACCCAATAACTTGCACAAGACCGTAGACTGTCTTCCACGCAATATATCCACGCAATATAAATGATTCATTCACTATTCATGTAAAATTGAAAAAAAGCTTAGATTTTAACTTTACAATATCCATCAAACACCATTGTACCCATCCGAGAATGTTAATATTGATCTCGATTGGCTGTTCAATGTCTCTTCAGTCATCAAAAGAATTTACGCAGAATGTGTCTGAGCTGCGTTTAAATATGTCTGCGAAATTGTGTACCGAGCAGTTCAGAATTAACAGTTAGAGAGGTCCAAGATGAAAACACAATAAAATTTATTTTCCAAACAAAATTAGACAACCACCATTTTGCCAGTGGGTAACCTGTGATCGCCTTTCGGCTATCACAATTTTCTTCATTTTGTAGTGAATCGTATTTAGATTTGTTTTTGATTTTTTCTAAAATTGCTGTAAATTTTTTAAATACTAACGTTGCGATGGTGCCACAGAACTGACATAAAGAGTGTGAGCAAAGAAAACATATAAGTCTTTCAAATTTAAGCATAAACTACTTCCTGTTTTTAATTAATGTGACTATTTCTTTTGCAGGAGGATGCTTTCTCTTGGTTCTTCCGCCTCTTGGGAAGAAGCTTTGAAAGTTTTGATAAAAAAGAAGAAAATAACATCGTCGTCTCTCCTGAAATACTTCGAACCTCTTCATAACTGGCTCATTCAATACAACAGAGTTAACAATATAAGTGTTTATTTGTGATTTATTCTTTAAATAAATCTCTTGCATCACAATTTCTTTCAAATAAAACACTCCTAAAAAAATTTTAATAACAGTAGTCAAAAAATAAAAATACAATAATATAAAAAATAGATAATCTTATTAGCTTGTATTTGAGAGGGAATCGTGAAATCAAAATTACGAACACTTGTTACAATTGTAGCGATTTTCAGCACTTGGACCGAAAAGTCGGCTGTAGTATACGTATATATA